TATTACGTAACAACTTTTCTCTTTAATCGTCTCATTAAATGGAAGAAGAAAGTTTCAAAGTACCGTAAACAAATAAATATTAATGAAGCGATTTGAATATCTAGAGAAAAATAGTTATTGTAATCATTAAAGAAGATTTAATTTATGAAAACATTATTAATTTTTTTTGTCAAATCGATTAAAGAAACTTTCACTGTCATCATTTATTTCCAACTCAATTATAATTTTAAACTATTGTTTAAGTTGTTTACAACTGTTGTTTAATTGAGTTGTAAAAATCGAGTCAATTATCATTTATTTACTCATGTCAAAGGAAATAATGTTTTTGTACCTTCGCGAAATTTTCACTCACGATTACAAACATTAAAACATCTCGCGGTGCGCTTCCTAAGGATATTTATAGAATTAACGGTTCGATTCGACTGAAATATTTCCTTAAACAAAACTGCAAAGATCAAACAAACCAATTTTCAAAAATAGAACCACTTCAAATTAAATTGTTAACTAATTTATTACAATATCTAAAATTAAAATTGTTTTTTATTTTCATGTGATTTCTATTTAATCTAATCTAATCCTTTGATGATATCTTTGTAAAAAATATGTTGTTTATTTTATAAACAAAAAAAGTATTTAAAGTATCAAAAAATAAAAATAAATTCTTTTTCCTTGGTATTTGTTGAGGTTGTGCTGAAAGTAAGTTGAGTAGTAAAGTAACGTAAAATGCGCACAATCAACATTATTTTTTTTTACATTACACGCACGTTTGTATATCATTGACCTTGAACGTTTTCACAGTTGATAACGTCTAGAAAACGGAACTGTACACAAAGGGAAAGCAAAATAAATAATGCGGTTTGTTTTCGATTTTGTCACACAAAATAAGAAAACAGAATTAATTGGTTAGTTTTTCCTTGATAATGTGCGGTTTTCCACACTTCATTTTTAATCAGATCAAAAATGAAGCTTTAACTGCATTCTCATTGATTTGAGAATATCCGCTTTTGAGTTATATCTCTTTTTTTTTAAAGAATTTAATTGTTTTTCCAATAATTTGTCGTATTAAATTCAAAACAATCATGTCGTGTAACAATTTCTTTACAAGGATTTAATAATAACTTTGTTAAAATCTTAGCATTTTTCGCTGTCATTTCAATGTCAGCTGGAATGACGCAATTTAATGGACACAAACTTTGAGCACAACAAGCATTATATAAGTTTCCAGAATGTTCGAAAACACCACCGTAGTGCTAAAGGAAATGTGATTCTGTAAGAAGAATTTTGTATTTTAATTTGAAATTCCATCCATATTAAACTTAAGTCATTCGGAACCTCAACATGACGATGTTTTACCATTACTTAATCTTTGTATGTAAATGAGCTTTGAAACTCTTTTTCTGACTGCAAATACAAAGACCTTTAATAGCTTTTATAGCAAAAATTGGATTTTAAGACATCACTGTTTATAATGCCGCGAACGCTCCAGATCGGCATCGGTTAAGGTAACAATAACGAAACATTACATAGCCCAGATCATTTTAGTCCATATTCAACCTTTACGCATCATCAGATTCTTCACAGTTATAAAATCCAGGAACTAACACCCTCTTCATTATCTTTAGCCTAAAGAAGCCTACGTAGAATTTGTGTTCTGTAGAGTCTCTTTAATGTTTCAATCACACCTTAACTACTTGGCTGGATTAGTGGCGTGATATTAGGCAGGAAAAACATCGCCTCAAATTCTTGATCAATCGGATTTAGTATTTCAGCAGACGGGTGTGTGGCGCATTGTCCATGACTTGCACTTTTCTGTGTTCTATAAATCACTGAAAGCTTAGTAACTAAGTAATATCATATTACTTATTGTCCTAACAAATTTATCTCATTTCCGCCACAGTTGTCATAGACTGCTAGCTTCAGAATATGGTATGAATCATTTAAGAATTTTCTAGAATTATTGTATGATTCACCGAATCTAATCTAAGCATGGAGTGAAATATTATCTGCATAGACATTAAAAATTATTCTACAGTGGAAGAACATAAAAATTCGTAATGAGATTAAGATTAGCTTGCTTGTTTACGTTTAGATAAGACAAACGATCACGATGTTAAGAAGCAAAATTACCTAACAGTTGCATTTTCGGGACTATTATAATCGGATAAGTAATTCTGAGATTATAAATATAGGGTGAATGCAAAATCAGCATCTTATTTATGTTGTTCACGTATTCACTATTTTTGCAATGAATTGCAAAAAGATTAGGAAACATAATATTTTCATACTTTTTGAGATAGTTGAAGAAAAAATCTAGATGACATAATCCTGAATAATTTAAACTAAAAATTCCTAATTATTTATATTTTATTCGAAAGCATTCTGAAAGCATCTTTGAAATAGCAATAGTAATAGGTAAAAAATCTAATTATTCAATAAATCGCAGAACTTATTAATTTTTTTTTTTTCGAATTGTGGATGTGACTGGTGCGAATACTCACATTCTTCCTTATTAAGTGGTATTAGATAGATAGTAAAATATGCAAGGATCACTCAGACTGCACAACAGCAATTAAAGGTTAAGATTGGCTCTCTATACTAACTACGAGTATAATTTTATTTTATGTTCTGTCTCATGAAAGAGCTTTAGACAACTTTTTTAGTCTGCTGGCAAATACATCGAACAGTATGATGTCTTACCTGCATTTTTGGGATTCTTGTTTTGATTACTACCAAATTCGTTTTCTTTCAAATATGGGATTAGTGTGTTGTCGAGTAACAAATAAAAATTTTCATAGATTTGTTCAAGTGTATACTTGCCATAATATTAAATATTTCCGATAGTAATCTATTTGATCTAATTCATTCAACACTTAACTGTCATTGAAAACTTAATTCGTGCTTTTTTTTTTCACCATCTAAAATATCTATTCGTTATACATTGCATTCATAAAGTAGAGAATATTGTTTATAAAAATATTATTAACAGTATTTGGCAAAATCCCTGAAACATTTAAAGATGTGTGTTCTTTGCTCAACCTTTAAGAAACATTTTTTTCTGTCATATTTTGTTAGATTTTATATTGTTTTAGTTCATTTATATTAGATTTATTTGTATTATTTCGTTTATTTAGTGTAGCCTTGAAATGTATCGAGTTAAGTGTTGAAATGCGTTGGGATGTTTATATGTAAGTCTTTGGGTAAGGCTTTTGGTTATGATTTTAAATAAAAAAAGGAGCCTTCGAACTCTAAACCGTAGCTTTCATTTGATGAATCTTCGTTTTGATACGCAAAGAAACAGTACGCCTTCGTTTCACGCGACAGACGACGACGACAAAGACTTTGCAGTACGTGTTAATGAGATTTAGGTCGATATGATATTAATTATAATACCTAGACTGGTAGCAACCTTAACTTAATTAACCGTTTGAGTCCCAAGCAGCGCTGTTCAGGTTTTATGTCGAGAAAACCCAGCACTTTTCGTACTCATTTAGTACGAAGTGTTTGAATACCTGTGCGACATTATTTTTCCAACACTCCCTGGGACTTAAACGGATAATCAAAATAATTTCCACCATAATCAAGCAAAGTCATGCTCCATCTTAAGTTATGCTGAAGTCGGTTTGGCCAAGGTGCTGTAATTTGTTGATATTGCGTTCATATAATATAAACTTGGAGTTGCTTAATCAGACAGAAACATATGTTTCCACTTTGTGCCACCTCAAATACACCTTATTAATCTGCAAAGGTCTTGCTTTAACTTTGACACTTGAGGATATTGAACACCAAATTCAAAATAATAACTCTGACGTAACTCTTTGCTTAAAACATTGCTGTATATATTTAGGCTAACTTTAGAATAAGTGCATAGGCGGTATATCATATTCGTAGACACATACATCTTATATTGAACTCAACTTCTTTATGCTTTGTCGCTTCGACATTGTCGAGCCTATGTACCAAACCTCTTATAACTGTAGGCTAGATACACAGACGGTATGTAGAGGTCTTTGTCACGAATAATATCTTCTTACAGTTCTTAATTTGCATCAAGTTTTTCAAATCTGCATTAAATTTCTACTATGCTTCTTTTCGTGATGTAGTGAACCAATATCAAATCCATTTTAAATTTTTATCATACATCAAGTCTTCAGCAAGACAACTGTGTATAAAATGTTAATAAAGTCTGCATCGAGACAACTTAGTATAAAGCCTATATTATCTATGAAGACATGTTTGTGCAGAAACAAATCTTCAAAAAGTCTACATCAAGATTGCATCTGGTTTGTATCAATATGCATATAAGCTTGCATAAAAACTAAAAGAGTGTATAAAATAACCACATAATCCTTCTCAAATCTGCATCAAGTCTTTAAAGTTTGCATTAAACTCATGATTTGATAGATTATATCATAAGTCAAGGCTCTATCAAGTCTGATTTAAGTCTCTATTATATCTGTATTCAATATGCAGCGTGGAAACAGCACAGTATAAATTTCACATCTTCCCTGAATCAAGGACTTGACCAATGTTTTTATCAAGTCAAGTCTACATCATATCCCTATCGTGCATACATCGAAGCTGCATTAATTCTTTGAAGTCTGCATCAGATTTCCATTATATTTTTTTAATTGGTGGCATGATGGCCCAGCGATCTCGGTTTCTCGACCAAAATTGCCAGGTTTGATTCCGGTGGATTTTTGTCTGTGGTGATATCTAAAAAGTAAAGTTCGACATCTCAAATTGTCCAAATTAAAATTACAGATGGTGATTGACCTTGCAACGTTTTAAGCAAACACCCACAATTAAACTATGCAATTAATGAGTATCATGAGCAATGTATTTCTAGAACTTGAGAGAGCATTAAACTATTATTTTGTGATATATGCACAAAGCAAACTTTAGCAATACAATTTTTATTAATTTTATAATTTATATTTATAAAAAAATTTAGTTTTGATACAGATTTAAAAATATTAAAGTTACTTTTCTTTATTTTCCAGTTGTATTTTGCGATTACGTAGCTTCGGGAAGATCGTTACAATTCATAGAAGAATACATCCTCCGAGAAGTTTTACCATGTTACGGAAACACCCATTCCACAATAAACATAACAGCGCTTCAATCGACTTTATTTAGGTAAGAATTTTTGATTTTTATAATTATTTATGGGTCGATAACCCGTTCAATTACGTGCTTTAACACGTGATTGCGTGATATGGGAGGATTATAAGTGGGTTAACTGCTCTTTCCGGTGATGAGATGAGATGCATTACAATGTTGCAACTAAATTGGATTTTAAGAGGAAAGAAAAAAATGATAATCCAATTTGTACCAACGAAGAAAATTGATAATAGTTTTATAATTTTTTTTATGTTAAGTAAATTAAGCAAAAATCTATAATGATTTCGTAATAGACGCATTTAAATGCATTTGTTTATGAGTAATTTTTTTTTTCATTTGCATGTCTAGTAAACATATCGTTTCTTGTTGGTTTGGGGTTACTCACCGTCTATTTTCAAGTAATCGATAAGAGTTGGCACGCAAACTCACTCATACACCACCACTTTAGCTCTTCGTTCGGGGTCGGCGTTTGAAAACAAAAGGATACATATTTTTTTACTTTCAAGCCTCGTCGTCCAAGGCATAATAGGGCCGATACGGGAATAAAAATCGTGAAAAGAGGTTTTTTATTAGGTCATAAACCATGTTTAAAGTACCTCTTTAAAAAGTTTTTCTCCTTTTTAGTAATAATACTCGAGGTCTTCTTAATGTTTTCGTTTTAGTAATCCTTTTGACCTCTTTAACTGTTAATTAAAAATTCTATTTAAAAAATAAAATATGTTAAAAACGATCTATATTCATTTTTTTTTGTTTTGTAGACAAGAAGCAAGGGAGATAATAAAAAATGCTGTTAACGCAACTGAAGAAGACGCTGTTATCTTTGTTGGTCAAGGTTGTTCCGCTGCCATTAGAAAATTAATTAGTGCTTTGGACTTGAAGGAAGCGCCGATTGTATTTACTAGCGCCAGTGAACATTTAGATAATTTGCAGATATGGGAAGATTATGGAGCGACGGTAAGAAATTAAGATATGATATTAATTCTATTAAATTAAATGTATCCAAAGAAGGTGAAGTTCAAATGAAATTTAACAAATCTAGAAAAACATTGATAAGATTATAAAAACAGCTGGCATAGTGTTTATTGACCCGATAAACTTTATAAACTTTTTATAAATCAAAACCAAACATTACATAACATTCAACCAAGGTTTATTTTTAATAACAAAAAAAATTCCGTTTCAGATCATTCGAATTTCAGAAACAAGACAAAACTTTTTGGACCTAACCGATTTAGAAGAGCAATTAAAAATTCATCAATACTCTGGTAGACAACTCATAGGATGTTTTTCAGCGGCTTCAAGCGTTACAGGAATTTTAGTGGACGATGTGGCTTCAACAGCACTTCTTCATCAATACGGAGCTTTAGCCTTTTGGGATTACAACTTAGCAGCGCCTTACATTAACATCAACATGAACGCAAAAATACCCGGAATCGAAGAAAATGTCGCCACGAAAGATGCCATTTACTTTTCCGGGCATAAATTTATCGGCGGCGTTCAAACTCCTGGTATTTTAGTTGCGAAAAGGAATCTTTTTAAGAAAACTGAACCTGCAGAACCGGACGGTTTTTTCGCACCTCAAGAACAAAACAGGGTGAGTAATGATTTTAACCTTTAAGGCTTTTAAACATTTTTATGTTCGAAAAACTTAAAAGTAATAAAAATAAGGAAGAAATTGTTTTAAAAGGTCTTGAAACTGTTAATGTTAAATAAACAAGGTCTTTGACACCCGATCGAGGTTTCTGAACGACATTTTTTATTGTTTATTTAGCTTTGTTGCTGTTTAACAGTTTAAAGTGCTATAAATATTTTTATTCGAGTTAAATTAAAATTTGTTGTATTGGAAAAAAAATATATATATAGTTTTAGATGAATTATTTTTAGATTGTGAGAATTTAAAAAACCGTCGAAAATTATTTTTAGAAGTTAATGCAGGAGATGTATGCCAAATTAATGTTGACATGTTTATTATAGAAATTTTCGTTTAAAAAATGTTCCACAATTTTGAATCACGCAAATCTGCGATGAATTCTTGTAGTACCGTAAATAAGAAACTTTAAGTTTTCTTTTCCTATAAATATTTTAGCCAGAAAAATTTTGAAATATCACAACATTCATCAAGGTTTAGAATATGAGTCAAATTGTAACTTCTAAATCATAGTGCAATTGAGAATTACTATTTTGGAAACGTTTCATATTTAATCTATCACAATATAATAAACAATAAAGGTTTCTCTATATCAACGAAAAACATTCCCAGCTGTTGCAAACGTTTCAATAAAGTTGTTGCGTTAAAAGTTGATTATAAAAATCGAGCCAAAGTTATACAAAATAACTGCGAATCATTTAATGCCGAGAAGTAAGAGTTTTTGCTATATCGCATATACAAAGTATGTATTGTAATCGTGGAAATATTCAAACTCGAGATTTCAATGGTTTGGAAGTGTGTAAACATGATAACTTAAAAACGCAATTAGCAGTGGTGATGAAATTTGGTTACACTAAAATTGTAGATGCGTATCAACTTTTTGGGCTCAGTCGATGTAGTTCTCTCGCTTAACCTGAACACATATTGAAATAATGTCATATAAACTTGTACTTTAAATGAAGAAATACAACAAATATAAATGTGTCTTAATAAGCACAAAAAATAATCAGATATAAAATTTCAATTAAATCGGCTAGAACAAGAAATTTTGTTTAATAAGTAGTATTTTTTTCCGGAAAGTCCAAGTGTTCCAGGAAATGTAGTATTATCGTCTCTCTATGAACATTTCACAAATGTAGCGTGTCAATTAGTGTCATATAATAATTCGAGAAAGTTGAGTGTAGGTGACTTCAGTTAATTTATTTTAATGTAAGCTTCTTATGGCGAAATGACATCATAAGTATCTACTCCAAGACTTGTTGAATATATTGGGTGAAATACATTCTCCATTTAGTACCCGCTCCCACTCCATACCACTCTCCTTCAAATCGTCATACCTCAGCACATGATCAATTGTCTCCCAATCTCCCCACACAATCTATACATCCTCTTCTCATAACCAATTCAATATTTATTAGCCCTCTCTTCATTCCTACACATAAATCGCGCAAAAATATTCTTTGCCTTCCCTCCGGAATTTCATTTTCATCAGAGAATGCCGTTCCTAATTTTGCACATCTCTATCTCTACTCTTCAACTCCTTCCACGGTGTTGACCCGTACCTCCTGCTTCTTTGTATTTCCTCTATTATACTCTACTCTGGTATTATATTACCTTCTTTCTTGTTATTCATACTCCCCCACCCCAGTCTTAATCATCTTCCAACACTATCCCAAAATCTTAAAATCGCTCCTCTGCTGCAGTCCATCCTCGTACTTTATCGCCCTTCTGGCTGCTTCCATCCTCATCTTCTCTTGCTACAACTCCTCTTCCACTATATATGCAAGAATCTTCCTGCTCAACCCTGAGCCCTACCTTCAATCTTGTGTTCGCTCCTATATTTACGCTCCATACATTATCATCACACTCCTCACCAATCCATCAAACATTATTTTCTGCTTGTGCACATCTTTTTCAAATATTCGTTCCACCAACTCCATATCTGTCCCAAAAATCTACTTATCTTTCTAACTCTCAGCTTAATATGATTCCCAACCCCATTATCCGCTCGACAAGTAAAACTCAGGTACGTAAATTTTTTTACATTCTCCACCTCTCCGCCCTTCCATTCCCACTTCCTCCTTTTCTTCTTCCGCCCTTAGAAAATTTTATAATCTTCGTCTTTTCAACATTTACTTCCAAATTCTTTCCCTCTAAGTAGGTCTCCATCGATCTCATCATCCTTTTCAACTCTTTAACCTCTGTTGCCACCACCACTACCACATCATCTGCATATGCTAACAAATGTATCTTTTCTGTCCCCACACTTCAATTACTAAAAGATATGTAACTCTAAGAGCCTACCCTATAGTATTTTGTTTTGTCTAACAATTAATACGCTATACTAAGATGCAAATAACACTGCACAACTCGATGCTCTTGTATTTAGTGTTATCGAGGCTCTATTCATGATTTGCTGTTGTCTTCTTAATAATTTCAGATACAGTTTCCATACTCAGAATCATTGTGAATGATTAATGTGGAATTTCTTCCAAGTATCCAATACAGTTTTTTATATCTAATAGGTACTAAGCTAATTTCTTTTCTTTTTGACGTAAACTTTCCAAAATTTTCTCGTCTGGGTGGCTTAGGGTGCTCAGGTACTTTGCTGATGTTACATCAGAAACTTGGGCATCATTAATTTTGACTGGGAAATTTGATTCAAACTGATGATTGGGTATCAACTTTTCTTTTCTGTTATTAGTTTTAAATGTTTCAGAAAAGTCTTAAACAACTTTGACGTCATCGAAAACATAACAACTTCTGCTATCTTGCAAACTCTGCTAACATATCTCATTATCAGTCCAAAGACAAAATTTATTAGGTTTGGTAGCTTAATTGTAGATTACTATCCTGGAGCTTTCTTAGCGTTTATGCCCTTTTTTATCCCTATTATTACATCTCTAGGCAACGACAAGATTATTATTTCTTACGTTTGAATTGATTCTTCCCATCTCTGTTCTTCGTCATTTTTGTCATTAGGTTTGATGGTTTTGAAGGAGTTGTAGTACTGGTTTCGATACCCTAAAAATCAAAACAAATCGTTTGGGTAACTAAACCCTTATGCTCAAATGATTTTGTGGGCTGTAGCTGGTTGTTATTAGAATCTCTATTTGTAAATAAAACTTCTACTTGAGGTATTAAACAAAAATTGATTGGGTTTAATTAGAAAGTAGGGATGATCATATTTGATTTAAAATATTAATGATAACACCATAATAATATTATGTCATAACAGAAACTGTTGCCATTATATTACTTTATGTGGTTAAATATTTGTGAATGGTATGAAGGAATAAAACCTGAATTAAGGCAAGAGAAATTAAATCTTGTTTCCAAACTACAATGGGATACTATGACTATTAAGTACAATCAACATCGAAATATTTTACTTCACTAATCTGACATTATAATAGTTTCTAGAATTACTTCTTCAAACGTTAGTAAGACATAACTTTGTTGAAATGATTTCTCGCTGTAAAAGTTGGCTAATTTTGAACTCGGTTACGGACGGCATTAAATGAATTATAAGTTCGCTACTGTGAACTGAGCAGAACTAAAGCGAACGTTGGTACAAGAATACTATTTCGCCGACCTTTAATTAAATTAAATCAGTATAGGATATATGTAGTGTGTTTGAAGAAACACACTAAATACTAGTATCACCATAGTTGGTTTTGGTAGTTGTGGAATATGACTATGTAATTTTTATTGTGTCTTTATGTACAGTTAGACAAAATAGATAGCAGATAGAGCCAAAATTTATCTGATTTTCTCTATTTCATATTAATGCTATCCTTCTCAATTTTACCTTCTTAAAAATCTATTACTCTAGCATGGTATACACTTTGATAAATTTAATGCTTGCTAATTCTGGGTTGCGTAATATTGTCAGTGTTCGATTCATTTAATATAGACATAAAAAAGATGTCTAAAAAGAAGTAAATAGCTTCCTCGTTATCTATAATTTTTACAATTGGATTCGATTGAGTTGGGTTGGGTGTTTCAGATCTTTGTACACCTTATACAAAATGTTCCACGTAAGTTTTTAATAAATACATATTCTTATTTCTGAACGATATAATAAGGAATGATAGTGAATAAATAGTATCAAGGTAGATACAAGCTGATGAAACTGATATCGCGAAAGATAACGGGTGAAATTTTTGCACGTGTTACATTTTCCAGGATCTTAAAATGTAACGTAGTTAATATTGAAATGAAAAATAGACGCCTTATTCGTCACCCGATATGCATTTTGCAATATTATAGCCCGATATGTATTGCTCGAACTAATAATTAGAGGAAGATTTTACAAAGAAGTAGAGCAAAAAAATCTGGTGCATGAAGAACAAGTTTCAAAAGATACCATAAACTTAACTAATGTGTGTGAGTAAAAGTAATGAGGCAAGATTCAAATGATAAACCGAGTTCTATTGGGGAAATTTTTTACCATTTGGACGTTACATTACAAAGAAGAACTGATAACGAAGGTGAAAGATGAAGTCTGATTGCATATTGCAACGACTTGGTGACTTAGTCACGCTATAACTATTATTATACAAAAGATGTATGAAAGACACAAAAGCTAACCACGTCTTCAATTACTCTAAGGGTTCGTATTGCTTAACATCTAGCCTTATGTGTCCGATAAATTTTAGAGGAAGATAAACAAACATTTATGACACCTTAGATAAAACCCAGACATTCATTTTTTAAACAAAATATCTTATCAGTAAGAAGTCCGCATTTCGAAACAGTATTGACATCATTCCAAACTATCGAAATTATAATTTATTTGATTACGTTAAACATTCTTAGCTTTTTGTGTTTTGCGTAAAACTACTTGAATATTGTAAACTTATTACGTATTTTGTTATTACTTAATAGACGATATATGTATAATATCAATGTGCTTAGATTTCCTGCGATTTAAACTCCATAATCAGATTTAGCTTTAATATCAACGTTTCTTTTTATGTATTTAAGTTAATTCTCTCTTTTGCTGTTCAGACCATCAATCCACACCTTTTGCGATCTTTTTGTCAACCTCTGTATGCAATGTTATATCTATTAAACAAAATTTTAATCCTACTGTTTCCTAACTACAGGAATCTCGGCAAATCAGTTCTTTCAGGTTTTTCACAGACATCAAGTTAACGGAAAGTTCCATGTTTGCCCTGATTCCTGCATCTCTTCTAGTTACTTTTAGTCTCCTAAAGATTATTCGTTTTGTTGACTTATTCACTTATACCTCGCTACTTGATTCATAACATCTGTCACTTGTGTTCTGCGAATGTCGCCATTTCGAATATTATCTCTCAGAGTGACTCCTAGTATTGTTCGTTCCATCGCTCTTTGGATTACACCATGTTGTTATGCAGTTTTCCTTGTTAAGGCAATGGTTTCAAGTCCATATGTAGTCATTGGCAGTATACACCTATCATATACGTTTGTTTTAGGCTTCTCGGTATTTCTTTGTTTTTCAATGATAGTTGAACCCGTGATTTTATTTCGGCTGTTTGATTTGCTTTGCCGATTTTAACGGTGTAACCAAGGTATAATGTACTAGCTTATGTTTTCTAAGGAGACATTGTCAATGACAACATTTTCCTTGTTGCTCATTATTTTGGGTTTCTTGTATTTAGATTTTGTAACATGTTTTCTGGTTCCTCTATGTCTGAACTGTCCAGTACCGCAACATCTACGAACCTTATTAATTGCGTTAATATGTTAGCGTACTTTCAATAATCGATTAAATTTCGAGAAGGCACATATTTCAAAATTAAGGCTGTTTAATTTAGATTACACTCAGACATCGAAAATTTATTGATATTTATTTTCACTCATGAATCACGTTTAACCACTTTAATTTTCATTACTGTCCAAAATAAATGATATAGACACATCGTTTATATTCGTTTAGTTGCAAGTTTAATAATCGTGTAGCAGATTATCTTATCATTTTTATATACAGCTTTAAGTACCCCTAAATGGAATCACTGAGATGTGTAACATTCATTTTATATTTTAAGTAAATCTCTAAATATCTAGGTGACTATTCATAAAATTTAAAAAGAATCATACATGTTTATGTCACCGTAAGCCAACGTTTTCCATTGTATATTTTTTTATGGACTACTTCCAAAAGAACCTAATCTTAGACATCGTGTGTAGTATAATTCTGATTCAAACACTCCACGTTTTTATGTCATTTATTAGCACAATAAATAATGTAAAAATAACGTAGATTATTTTATTTTTAAATTACGATTTCTTTAAATATAGAGTTTGTTATACTTTATACGAATTTAAAGTAAATTTTTTTTCCAGAGCTTTGAAGTACAAGAAGAAGGTTCAACTGCCCCAGTTGTAGAATCGGTTAGGGCGGGATTAGTGATGCAACTTAAAGAAACAGTGGGGGCATCAAATATATTATTGCGACAGGAAAAGATTAACAAGTAAGTATTTTTTTTAAGAATCGTAAGAAAAAAAATAGAGTGGATTACATAATCCATTCAATGCGTAAGTATGGAAATAGCTGGATTCATTCCCATTTCCGTTCTGTTCGTTTTACGAAGCCTTTCGAAAGCTCTCTCTCTCTTTGCCAACGACACGTTTTTGGTGTCAAGGTCGGTGGATTGTCGACACGAGCTATTTAAATTTATGCATTTCCTTCGTTCATCCCAAAAATAATTCCGGATTATTTATTACCGACCTTCCACCAGATCGACCATTAAACTCGAGGAGAATTTAATTCTTTCTCTCTCACTATAAAATATCGATTGTGTTACGAAATAAATTTTAATTTAATTCTTTTTTTTTCTAGACAAATGCTTCAACACATCCGCACAATTCCAGAAATAATTCTCCTGGGTAACTGTTCGACGAGTTTAAAACGAATTCCTGTTTTTTCTTTCATGGTGCGTCATCCCAGGGGAACTTATCTTCATCATAATTTCGTTAGCGCCATATTAAACGATGTCTTTGGTATTCAAGCACGTGGAGGGTGCCCTTGCTCGGGAGTTTATGCTCAAGATCTTTTGGGAATAGACCAAAACCTTGCAGATCAATACGAAAATATAATCCTAGAAGACAGACGTCTAAGCAGTTTAAATTTATCAATGGATAATATGTACTTGGAACTCCTTCGACCTGGATTTACAAGAATAAGCTTGCCGTATTTTATAAGCGACGCTGAATTAGCTTTTGTAATGGAAGCTGTAAAAATGGTCGCAACTGAAGGGTGGAAACTACTTCCCCAATACATTTTAGATTTAGATACCGGCGAATGGAGACATCATACAAACACAAATCAAAAAGATAGAAAATGGCTTGGATCAATACGTTATGTTGATGGGAAAATGACGATGAATGAAAGAAGGATTTCTGGGCCGGGATTATTCCCCCAAAATTATTCCGAATGTCTTCAAACGGCAAGGAATTTATTTAATCGAGCAAGAAAAACTGCGATGAGAAATCCGTATGAAGATCAAGGAATCCGATTTGATGCTCGAGCGGAGAAATTACGTTGGTTTATGCTACCCCACGAAGCCCAAGATATTTTAACGAGCAACTCTCAAAATATAAAACACACGGTTCCTTTTGACCCAAGAAATTCGGGGGCTTTAAAAAAAGGGGACAAAGATGATAAAGGAACCGTAAAATCAACAAATAGCTCTCCGCGTCATTATTCATTACCCGCAATTGACGATCATCGAATAATCGGTTCGTCCCCAGTTCCATATTATGTCCCAGAAGTAAATGCGGTTTATTATTCACCTCCGTTTGCGGTTCCTCAACCGCCATTAAATTTCGCGGTGGGTGAAAGTGTAAATGCTGCTATTTTAGATCCAGCACCGCATTCTCCACATTTTTTCCGCGAGCGATGTTTAAGTTTAGGAGCACCAAATGTTTCCCCTCCAGTACTTAGCCCGCAAACACGTGTTTCATTAGGCATCACTCAACAAACAAGACAAAGAAATTGTAGTTGTAGCAGTCAGACTGATTTACATTCCTTGGATTCAGATGCGACGACATCTCCAACACATAGCTTGAATATTGTTTCAAATTCATTCGATTGTAGTATGTTAGGCAGAGCATCGCCAGGACCGGATTTACAAACCTACGTAACGGAAATGACTAAAGAATTAGCCACAAATATTAAATCAGAAATACGCGAGGTTATCTCGAAAGTTGAGGATGCTATCGATATTGGTTCTTCAATGGGTTTTGCGTACGATAAACAAGGAAGTAGTAGTGAAGATGGAAGGAGTGATTCTATTTCAGCGAATGAGGTTGCTGAATATCTTGAAAAAGTCTCTAAACAAATGGCGAATGAAGTTAAATCTGAAATAAGAGACGTTGTGAGTGCCGTCGATGTTTATTTCACACCCGAAAAAAGATCATTTTCCAGAGCTTCAAGTTCTGGCGATAGTGAAAAATGTAACAAAGAAAAACCTGAAAAATATACTCCCGGATCGAGTAGCGAGACCGTTATTCAAATGATTAATACTGGAATTAAACAATTAAGCGACGAAGACTTAACGGACAAAGTAGGAAAATTAAAACATTTATCATCGAACGTTACAAGTGTTAGTTCTCAAGATAGCGGAATAAATCTTTCCTTTCACGAACATGATCTCGATGGAATTCGAAGAAGCAGCTCTGAAACTTCAACGAAACGTGAAAAAGCCAAAATGACTTTACAAAGACATTGCGAAAATAGTGATCATAGTGATAATAGCGAATCGGAAAAGTCTTCCAATGAAAGCAACAAAACCACGAAATGGTCATGTTCGCCTAAAACGATTTGGCAACCAACCGTTGAAGCTATCAGCGAATACGAAATGATTAGAAGTGGAGATAGAATTCTTGTATGTTTAAGTGGAGGAAAAGATTCTTTAAGTCTTCTTCACGCTTTATTACAATATCAAAGTATTTGTTCGGGAAAAGGAGTTGTTTTTACTTTGGGGGCTGCAACAGTTGATCCTGAAGCTTCGGGGTGCGATCCATGCATAATTATACCACATTTAAAAAGTTTGGGTGTAAATTATGTCATCGATGATCACGTCGATGGTAAAGTTACAAGATACGAACAACACGCAGCTGAAAATTATTATAGTTTTCGCACAAGCTCTCTACGACAAAGACTATATGCGACAGCCAAAAATGGTGGATATAATGTAATCGCCGTTGCCCAACATTTAGACGATTTGGTTGAAAGCTTTTTATTATCCATTTTCCACAAAGGAAGACTGAAAACGTTAAAGGCACATTATTTTATAAGAGAACACGATTTAAGAGTTATTCGCCCATTCATTTACGTTCGCGAAAAATCTCTTAAACAATTCGTTGCCAATAATCAATTACCGGCGATTTCGAGCAGTTCTTCTAATTTGGAATTGACGAAGCAAAGACAGAGGGTGCGTCAAGTTTTGGCGCAACACGAAATACTCTTTCCGAAATTATTTACATGTTTACGAGCCGCTTTACATTCGTTAATATGCTGCAGCGAAAATCAAGATGACGGTCCGAAAGTTCGGAGACGATTGAGGTCGCGGGAAACTGAATCATCGTCGGATGTTGAGACTGACGAGGAACCAATTTTGAAAACTGACTGAAACTCGAAAAGGAAAAAATTTAAAGAAATTATTATTACCCGGATTAAGAAACTATAACGTATAGGATAATTAGACTATTACTCAACTCCCCAAAAAAGGATTCGAATTTAAAAAAATAAGATGGTTTTTGAAGGAAAACGTCTTTTCAGAAAACAATTTTGAAAAAAGTCTAAAAAAAAACAAGTATTTTGCGTGACTTATTTGTATGCCTTACATATAAAAAAAATGTGCGAAATGATTTTCGAATTCCCTCCAAACCGTTCTTCAATTTTATTTGTTTCGTTTAATATAAAATATTATTAAATCTAAAGATTGCACACCGTTATAATTTTTTTTTGTTAATTGGATTCGGACGTCGAAAGATATAGATATGTATTAATGTTATTACACTTTAAGATATTTAACGATGTTACGATGGATTGTATTTTATTTTTAATTCAATTTACGAGTAAATAAGCTTATATATCGCATATTTTTGTTTTATTTCTATAAATGAAGTTATAATCCTTATATATCTATCAAATAATGACTCAAATAAGAATGAAAGCATCGTGATTCTTTATAGGTTAGTGTGTGTATTGTAAATTTAATAACATATTTGAATTAATTCAAGCATCTTATTAGATTATCTTTGATAATAGTTTTAACACAAGCCGTTATTATAAAAAACAAGATTTTTCGTAGAAAACGTAATAAACAGAAATGACGATGTTTTCATTCTCTATTTTGCAATTCCTTTCCTAGTAAATTATTTAAAAGTTTTAACACTAATCGTTTTTGAGATAAGAAGTAAAAAGTTTAAAAATCATAGAAATGAGAACTCAACCGAACATCATCAACCGCAAAAAAAATTCCTTTCAAATATTAAATTGATTTCTTGTATACAGCTGATTTAAAATTCCATATTTTGTACCTAGTTTGTAGAGTTTTTTGTTTTGAATAGACATTTTAAGTGCTATTACATTCCGACCGGCTGCTTTACCTCTATCTACTTCCGGAATTCTTATACGAAGATTTTTTCCTACAGTAGGTACTGACTTTGTTTTTGAAAAGCACAACATTTTGTCGGCTTACTTTTCTTGTGCGTGCTTTGTAGTGTTTCGAGCTTCTTGACTGCTCGTAGATCTTTTATTGAGTAAGGAGGTAAAATCATCTTTTTTTTTGTAAACTATTTTGAACTTGTTTGCCACCACCGATTTTTCCTGTTATGATTAAATTAATAGCCGAAGTTTCAATAGTTGTTAATTGTACATTTTCAGTAGAATTATGTATTTCCATTTGCCCAATGCGTTCATTTTCTTTGTCTACATTTGAAGTTGTTTCTCATCTGTAGTGATTCCTGAAATAGCATCTGTTGACAAATATGTTTTCAAGCCAGCTTTGGTTTTACAGAAAAAAAAGCTTCATAAGGACTGCGGTTTATTCCAGAATGATTATCGTATCCATCATTATAGAAATGATGATCTTTTTCATGAATTGGGTAAATTTAGTTCCTTCTGACCATTTTCTGGTATTATTTGTTTCAAGCCAAGTAGACAACATATTTTCTATGTCCTGGTTAACTCTCTCAACCAAATCTTGTGATTGTCTCGGTTTTTAACCCATTTAGTCCCACTGGTGTGAAAACGCACCAGCGTTTTTAAAATTATTTTACAGCCATATATTTCAAGATTTGAAGGTTTCTGATCTGTTTGTACGATAACACTATAAGGTTGTTAGGCTATACATATCAAAATATTTGATAATACTTGCTATTTAAACCATATTTGCATCAATTCTTTTCTATTGAAAATTTCTGTTCAAAATATACAATGGAAATAAAACTATTTTTAGTGCACAAAATTCTTTAAAATTTTGACATTTGCAAGTTTTTAGTGCATACTTTCCTGATATATATCTTGAAACGCGAAATAAAAATATGAATTCTGAAAATACGACTTGAAACATTAATGGTGTAAAAACACACCATTGGGATGTATGATGAGATATAAGGATTACATCATCTTTCGTATTATCAGAAAACAGTGTAGACGCATTTATTCGGTAATTTCCCTAGAAATAGTCGTTTATGTTCAATACATGTGTAGTAAGTTTAGCGTTCATTTACATGAAGAGTGCTTTGCGGAGTATCACAATAAATGATTATTACTGTTCATGCCATTGGTGCGTTTTTGCACCAATTTTGGCATAAATATTTTTTATATTAAACTTCATACTAAAGTTGGTATTTGTTAGTATTATGTTGTATTACTATTAGTATTTATCTATGACTAATTTATTAGTTAGTTAATAAAGGATAATCAAAATATTTTTGTGTTGTTGTTCAGTTATCTTACCAGTGGTGCATTTTTGCATCATCTCATAAAACAATTTTTTTTTCAAACGGTTGTGTACATTTTATACTTTTCATTCTATCTTATCTCAAGGAAAATTATAAAAAACAGATTTTTTTAATATAAAGCAGCGTGGGACTAAATGGGTTAATGAACGATTTTGAGTTCATTCCAGATTTTACACATTTCTTCAATAACTTTGTTACCAAATTCCCTACCATTGTCGCTTTGCAAAATACAAGGAGCTCCAACAATTGTAAACAAATTTCAAAAGATGATAAGTAACTTTTTCGGCTCATTTTGTTTTTAAAGCTATGTCTTGAACTAACTCTCTGTGCGAAGTTAGACTATATAAAGGTAATCTCCTTATTCAATTATCTCTTTATTCAATCTCTTGCCGGTTGGTATTATCAAAACCAGTTCGCTGTATACTCAGTAACTCTTTCGATTGTAGAACTAAATGATAACGTAAAGAATTGTTGTTCTCAGTACGCAGCAATATTATAGGCAATTTGTTATCTTGTTGTCTTTTTAGCATATAATCAGCTTCTTGTAACGATCGGCCAGGCAAGGTGACAGTGGAGACTGTTACAGAGTTACTTATGCAGTATCTAATTGCACCGGCATTAATGCTCATTACTGTATTAAATAAGAGAGGATTCTACATGCCCATTTTGTTTGACTTTACAATTTCTTTGAATATCTCGACTACAACTTCTACATCGTTGGATGCTTGTGGTTGTATTCTTTATCACTATATATATATTATAGATCACCATGACTATATGTCATGGTGATCACCGTATACAGAATGCCTTTGCTAAGTTGGTTGATTCGACGTTGTAAGGCTTGCTGTTCAATTTTCAAGATTTGATGTAATGATATACTGTCATAAAATTGACGAAAAGACTATTTTTACTGACGCTTGGTAGTGATGCGGTGGAATAATCTTTATACAGTTGATAAAATCGTGATTGATTTTTTTGCATCGTAAATATGCAACGGTGAATAAGCAAGATAAAAAGTGTTGCTGAACGTGTTTGGCGTCGGAATTCATTCAATGCATGGTAGCCACATATAATTCCTCTTCTGGTCTGAAGGTAAATGTACATCAATGATAATTGATATTGTACTTGTTGGCAGCAGTGAAATGCAAACATTTTGTTTCGTATTTAAACGTTCTACACTTCTTTATAGGTAACCGCTCTATTCTGCCTCACTCTTGTCTTATATGTTGGTCAATTTGTATTGGATAACTTGGTGGGTAAGAAGGGGTCGTTTATCGTACCACGTTAGTTACATGATATACCAGGTTGCAAATTAACCAGTTACATAAAGCCTTTAAAGATCTAGAAAGCTACCCTTAGGGAACAACAGACCGACTCAGATATGGTGCAAATGTTGGTTGGAAAAGATAACATTGAATATGGTGATTCCTTGTTCAGTCAATAGATTTAAGATTGTGCTGGTAATCAAATCAGAGCTTTTCAAAAATTTTACAAATATATATATATATTCAAGATTCTTATGATAAGATCTACATCCTTCGATTCTCAGTACGTAAACTAGTCAACCGTCAATTTTCTGTAGATTTCTTTGCACAACCTACATATAAACAAGTTGGTTTCAGTAAATATTATGTCATGTACAGAAAAATGAAATTATTAAGATTTTGAACAGTTCATATCTTTATGTAATAACGTCAGGATGCAAACAGGTTACAAAAAAGTTATATCAGAAATAAAAAACTGATTTAAGCCATTAAGTTGCAACATTTTAAGAGATTTTAAAAGATACACATCTTCATGATCACTAGAATGTAAACCGAGTGGAGACTCAAAACGCTACTTTCAATAATTTATATCTCCACATGTTAGCAAATTTTAGCAATCATTATAACATCNAGTGCTTTCCAAAGTATCACAATAAATGTTTATACTGTTGCGTTTTTGCACCAATTTTGGTATAAATATTTTTTATATTAAACTTCATACTAAAGTTGGTATTTGTTAGTATTATGTTGTATTACTATTAGTATTTATCTATGACTAATTTATTAGTTAGTTAATAAAGGATAATCAAAATATTTTTGTGTTGTTGTTCAGTTATCTTACCAGTGGTGCATTTTTGCATCATCTCATAAAACAATTTTTTTTTCAAACGGTTGTGTACATTTTATACTTTTCATTCTATCTTATCTCAAGGAAAATTATAAAAAACAGATTTTTTTAATATAAAGCAGCGTGGGACTAAATGGGTTAATGAACGATTTTGAGTTCATTCCAGATTTTACACATTTCTTCAATAACTTTGTTACCAAATTCCCTACCATTGTCGCTTTGCAAAATACAAGGAGCTCCAACAATTGTAAACAAATTTCAAAAGATGATAAGTAACTTTTTCGGCTCATTTTGTTTTTAAAGCTATGTCTTGAACTAACTCTCTGTGCGAAGTTAGACTATATAAAGGTAATCTCCTTATTCAATTATCTCTTTATTCAATCTCTTGCCGGTTGGTATTATCAAAACCAGTTCGCTGTATACTCAGTAACTCTTTCGATTGTAGAACTAAATGATAACGTAAAGAATTGTTGTTCTCAGTACGCAGCAATATTATAGGCAATTTGTTATCTTGTTGTCTTTTTAGCATATAATCAGCTTCTTGTAACGATCGGCCAGGCAAGGTGACAGTGGAGACTGTTACAGAGTTACTTATGCAGTATCTAATTGCACCGGCATTAATGCTCATTACTGTATTAAATAAGAGAGGATTCTACATGCCCATTTTGTTTGACTTTACAATTTCTTTGAATATCTCGACTACAACTTCTACATCGTTGGATGCTTGTGGTTGTATTCTTTATCACTATATATATATTATAGATCACCATGACTATATGTCATGGTGATCACCGTATACAGAATGCCTTTGCTAAGTTGGTTGATTCGACGTTGTAAGGCTTGCTGTTCAATTTTCAAGATTTGATGTAATGATATACTGTCATAAAATTGACGAAAAGACTATTTTTACTGACGCTTGGTAGTGATGCGGTGGAATAATCTTTATACAGTTGATAAAATCGTGATTGATTTTTTTGCATCGTAAATATGCAACGGTGAATAAGCAAGATAAAAAGTGTTGCTGAACGTGTTTGGCGTCGGAATTCATTCAATGCATGGTAGCCACATATAATTCCTCTTCTGGTCTGAAGGTAAATGTACATCAATGATAATTGATATTGTACTTGTTGGCAGCAGTGAAATGCAAACATTTTGTTTCGTATTTAAACGTTCTACACTTCTTTATAGGTAACCGCTCTATTCTGCCTCACTCTTGTCTTATATGTTGGTCAATTTGTATTGGATAACTTGGTGGGTAAGAAGGGGTCGTTTATCGTACCACGTTAGTTACATGATATACCAGGTTGCAAATTAACCAGTTACATAAAGCCTTTAAAGATCTAGAAAGCTACCCTTAGGGAACAACAGACCGACTCAGATATGGTGCAAATGTTGGTTGGAAAAGATAACATTGAATATGGTGATTCCTTGTTCAGTCAATAGATTTAAGATTGTGCTGGTAATCAAATCAGAGCTTTTCAAAAATTTTACAAATATATATATATATTCAAGATTCTTATGATAAGATCTACATCCTTCGATTCTCAGTACGTAAACTAGTCAACCGTCAATTTTCTGTAGATTTCTTTGCACAACCTACATATAAACAAGTTGGTTTCAGTAAATATTATGTCATGTACAGAAAAATGAAATTATTAAGATTTTGACCAGTTCATATCTTTATGTAATAACGTCAGGATGCAAACAGGTTACAAAAAAGTTATATCAGAAATAAAAAACTGATTTAAGCCATTAAGCTGCAACATTTTAAGAGATTCTAAAAAATATTCATCTTCATGATCACTAGAATGTAAACCGAGTGGAGACTCAAAACGCTACTTTCAATAATTTATATCTCCACATGTTAGCAAATTTCAGCAATCATTATGACATCATTAAAAGATTTCATCTTCATCATTGTAATATGTAATCTTATTATTGAAGAAATATTATTTACAACCATATGACGTAATGGTATCCTGTACAAGATAGACCGATATAACTAATTATATTTGTGAAAGTCTAAGGAGTAACTATAGCAATTTTTAACTTTGTAACTTAAACGGTGGATGAAAAATTCAGCTTAAAAAGCATTATGATAAAGCATTTTTAAATTAAAATCAATCAAAAACGTAAAGTACCAAATAAAAATTTATTAAAAACTCTGTCACTCTATCTAAAATTTAGGAGTACACAGCATAATAAATTAATGTAGTTGAATGGAGTATGTCAAAAGATGTTATGCATTAACATTGTTGCAATTTAAAATTGTTAACAATGTAACAATGGATAAAATTTTATTTTTAGTTCAATTTGCGAGTAAATAATCTTAAATAACGCATAAATTTGCTTTATTTCTCTAAATTGTGTTCGTTACATGATATATTTTTAAATAAAAAGGAACTTATTACTTTTCGTTAAATCTTCATTGATTTTAATAACTAAATAAAGATGGTTATTATATAATCCATGATGTTTTTGATTATTTTATTTAGCAGCCCCAGTTGAACATCCACAAGTTTTTCCTAAAACAAAAATAAATGTTATAAAAAAAAATCTTTTTGCAATCGAATAAATTTTATTACCTGATGATGCTGAACATTTACAATTAGGACCACATTTGCAATCAGACCCACAATTTCCTCCTTGACCACAAGTGTCTAAAAATCAATCAAAAAGGAATCTTTAAAATTAACATTTTTTTACTAACCAAAATCGTTTCTTTTTACTAAATTTATGAATTACACTAAAAAATAAATACCTTTGCAGCTATCACACGGAGAAGGCATCCTGAACTTACTAATCAACACTGAAGCACCAAGTATGATCATTTGAGCTTGCGCAGCTTATATAGAGCGCACAATGTTCCTCCCCACTATCTTTTCAACTAACGATCGTTGCCGTTTTGCCAGAGTTTATTAAACTTTGGTGATAAAATCAATGATTTTCACTAAAAATTTTACCTATTTTTTTTATGAAATTATAATAAATGTCATGTTTTGATTGAAAATGTCTAAAAAAAGCTGGGATATTTTGATTTCAATTTAAAAATAAAATTATCTTGACTAACTGAAAAAAATGTTTGAGATCACTGAATCTAGATCGTTGCCTTCTACACCTTCCAAGAGGAGTCCAAAGACGAGTCGAACACTTCATCAGTAGACAGAGACACCATTCACCGGAACTTTAATTGAAAATACTCTCGGTGAACTTGCCTTGAACTCGCTTCTCCGCGGAATTCGAGTTACCGTTACATTTTAATAGTTTTTAAAGTAGTTTGATTTATCTATTTATCGAAAAAGTTTTAAATGTATAAAACATCGCATATCATGTTAAAAGATGAGGGCTTAAACCCAAAAGAAACGAATGTTTCTAGTTAGTTTTTAATTTAGTGTATAAATTCTAGACGCATCAACAAAATTTTCTTTTTTTGTATACAATATAAAGTGAGAAGCAAAAATGACTTCAATCGCAGCTTGTTGTGATTTAGAAAAAAACAGAAAGTACAGAAAATCAGTAAAATTATAATTATCTCACTAAATAAATACATAAAAACACCTTTCGCTATGACCTACAGGAATTGTTTCCTATTGCCTCTTGCGTTATTGTTCACTTTGTGCATAGCTTCTTTCCAAGAGATAGAAATATTTCTTTATGATATTTTCAAAGAGTTTAATTCTATGTTCTTTCATTTTCTGCTTTGATCTGCTTTGAGTAACCAAAGCAGATTTGCATTTTGCATTAAAATATCTACTAAATTGATAATAGGTGGAAAATACCATTTCTTTCAGCTTGACGCTGTATCATAAGTGGTGAAGTTTTGATCAGCTCCATCATGACAACATTCATTAAAGAGGGCATTAAACGGATGAACACAATCAAAACGTACAGGTTATATGAGATAATAACAACGTTTACTGCATTGTTGCATTATAGGTAGAAAACTAGTTATTTGCGTAGTGTGACAGAACGCAGTTACTGACCCACTACGCAGTTACGTGAAAGAGAAAATACAAAGTTGACACGCATATATCATGTGCTTCCGATGAGGATATTATGTAATTTTTATGGTGTTAATTTTATGAAGTTTATTCTAGATTGTTTGGGATATGATAGAAATTAGCAGGTGTTAACCTTGATTCTTCATTTATAAAACAATCTTGTTTGTGTTAGGAATTCTGCGAAACTTCAATACTGAATACTACTAAAGCTTTTAACAAAATAGTTTTCGTCATTTTATCATGACAAATATCATTCATTAGGATTCGTTTTTAATGGGTAAATAAATAATGACCATAAAGAGTTGCCGAGTGAGAATGGATTAGAGTTGGGACTTGATGGGTGATTATAGCTCGAAATAGATAGGCCTTGTTATAATAATTGAAGTTCCTCCGTGATTTATCCTGAGCCTAACCTTATGGAACACCTATTACGATTAAGTTCTAATGATGAAAAGGAAGTGTTAAGTTGATAGCATTTGTGGTATCAAATTAAGACAGCTGATAATTTAGCTGTAGTTGTAACAGGAAAGAACAGGAGGGATGTAGACGACAATGCGTGTTATGCAATCGAAAGCGTAATATGGCACTTGGATGGGATGGACATAAAAATGGCAAAGTTGTTTTCTTGCAAGGTAGTAGAAGAAGAAAACCAAATGACGGTGAACGTAGATGGTGTGACAAGATATGGCGAGCATGACCATAATGAAATATCTGAGTGTATCTCCACAAGGACATGCAAGTGACGGTATCTATCAGAAGAATAAGGGAGAAAGCAACCGAGATGATTAAAAATCTTCTCAAAGTGATGCCGAATGTGAGAGATCACTATGCTAGTAAAAGAAAACTCTTGGTTTATACGCAATAGAAATATACTTAATACCATATGTAGAAAGCTGGGTATAGGAGTGAGATCCGTATATTGCCCAATATCTAGGGAAACAATATCTTTTGGAGCTAAGGAAAGCAATCCCAGGGAGGGGAGAAAGATATAGAAGCGAAACTAGAGAGCTAATGGAAAAATGGTATCTTCTTCTTTCTCAGCCTGTATTCATCCACTACCTATATCCAGGCTTCTTCTAAATGTCTCCATTTATTTCTGTCTTTTGTTGTTCTTATCCATGCTTTCCTTGCCATACCATCGATACATCTCTTTTGTAGTCTTCCTGCACCTCTTCTAGTTTTTCGTTGTGGTCTCCAAAGAGTTATTCTTTGTGTATATTGCCCATTGCCGCTTATCTCGCTACTTGACTCATAACATCTGTCACTTGTTTTCTTCTGCTTAGGTTGCTATTTTGAATCTTGTCTCTCAGAGTGACTATATGGGTTACACTAAGTTGTTCTGCAGTTTTCCTTGTCAAAGCCATGGTTTCACGTGCGTATGTAGTCACTGGCAGTATGCAGCTATCATACACCTTTCGTTATAGGCTTCTCGGTATTTTTGGAAAATCCGCATAGCAGAATCAGATTAATGCTGTCTTAGACACAAAGTAGCTGCACTATCATTAAATTTAACGTGGGGTTATTACTGATGCAGGGTGAAGAGAATTTTAAGGCGATAATGAGCTCCGTAAGAAAGGCTTGTCATGTAAAATAGAGTGAAGGGATAGCATTTCCGATAGTAGAACGATACTGAAAAGTTAGGGTTTTGGAAAGTCGTGAAGAAGTGTCTGATGGCTTTTGATTTCAAAGAGGAAGCAAATCCGATACTATCTACTGTTTGTCTTGTAGATTTTTAACTCCTCTTCAAAAAAATTGTTTGTTGTTAGTGAAGAATCGGTCAAGTTTGGTTGAAACCCGGTATTTTAAAGTATTTTTCCCTTTGTTGCAACTGTTTGCAACTCGAAGGCAGAGTCAAGGCAACTCATGAGGGGAATGATCAGGGTTTTAGACTATCAGGGATGGAACATATTTCAGATGACCCAGAGATTTCCTAATTTCCTTTATAATAAAAAAAATTTGGTTGTGCTGATTTGAAATAGGTTGGAAAATTGTTAATAGAGTTTCTAAGTTTTGACACACATCAGAATAATCTAAGTCATTTCACAAGCCTGTTAACATATTGGCTAGTGGGTTTCCCAACGTCCAATAAGGGCATATCATCTTCAGATGAAATCTTGTCGTCAGTGTTATTAATAACAATTAATTCAATTAGAGTTTACAGCTGAAGCCAGCTAAATTATTGATATTGAATAGTCTCCATAAATCCTTATTTGTTATCTAAACACTTTCATTTTTTTGGCGAGGAAAATTCCAATTCCAAAACCTTACCATTTTATAGTTTTTACTAATTTGAATATCTACTTAAAAAAATCTTTAGCCGTAGAAATGCGAGGTAGGCAGAATTTAACCTTGACTATAAATGAATCACATACACTGCATGTATCGGAACGGGAATGTTCAAAGGTAAAGAATTTGAATTTTGTATTAAAAATTCTTCTGTATGACTCGTAAGACTTTTATTGGGGGATATGAATCATCCTAAATATTATTTATATGTATAACTCATCAAACAAATAAATTCATTAACGATGTAGTAACTTTTTCTGCTTTTTAAAAATATAATTGAAAATTATGTCATAAACAAGCCACTTCAATTTTAGCTAAATTTCATGAGGAATACATAGCAGTGCAACATTTCCTTTTTACTCTACTTTTGTAAGCCTTCTTTGGTGTACCAACAAAACGGAAATTAAACTGCATAGGTAGGGTATCCTGTTCATCATTAAACTTTATGACGTGTTGTATTTCTATAATACAGGTATTTTAGCTTTAAGTGCGAACTTATCAAAACAAACTCATGATCGCTAAGTTTAATTTTCTGTTCAAAAGTAAAACTGTAGTTCAAAAAACACACGTAAGTTGTTATGCTTAATTTCTTTTTTAAAACAACTTTTAGGTACTGAAAATATATATAAAAAAATATCATGATGGTAAAAAAGAACGTATCTATGTTGCAATAAAACTAGAAAAGATTGCATGGAATGCGTTTGCAATTTCGTTTGTACTTTAGTAACCGCCAAGAAAATTGTAACGGAAGAAGGAGGAGTAAAGTTAGATGTGAATGTACTTGCGAATGGTGAAATTTTCGCACAGCACACAAATGGGCCTCTATTGCGGAAGTTAATTAAAGTTAATTAGTTAAAGAGCGAGAAGTGAAAGCGAAAGAGTTAATTAGTTAAGTTCCTTTAAGAATTATTCAAAATCGAAAATAATATTAAATACTGCCATCTTTGTAAATATAGAGGAATTGGAGCAATATTTCCTTCATTATTGTAGAGGTGGCGCTTATAGATCGAAAATTTCAAAACTTTCGTTGTTAATTTTTGCATCGATTGGTAGTACGCGTTTATATATAAAATATGAATTATTAATAGGTAGAACACGGTAATTTATGGATTCGCATTTGTAGAAGGTCTGTAATTTACATTTGCGTTGGGAACGTGTGCCGTTCATGCGTTAACCCACGAACAAATGTGCATTACGACATTCATTTAAATTTTATTTTATCTCTTTAAAATCATTTTCGAAATAATTTCCAAATTTTATGATATTAATATTTTATGAGAGATTTAAATCGTGATATAAAATAAATTTAAATCGATTGTTTTGCAAGTTATAAATTGAATTAAAAATATTTACTATGGTGATAAATTTTAAGAGGATTACAAACGGAAATAGAAAACAATAGGACTTTACCCGAGAGTTGCCGTGAAAAATAAATGAGACCCAGCCCTAAATTTAACCGCACCCACCTCAATTCGCACGCAGGGAAATCAAGTTTCTTGAGTGATATAGTGGGAAAGTTACCGGGTGCTTTTGTTGAACTTTTAAAGCGGGTAAAACCTTTTTCGAAATACATCCGACCCTCTCC